CCTCCCCCAGGACCACTGTCCAACACCCCCAGGACCACTGTCCACATCTCCCAGGACCACTGTCCAACTCCCCCAGGACCACTGTCCACCTCCCCCAGGACCACTTTCCAACACCCCCAGGACCACTGTCCAACACCCCCAGCACCAGTATCATTTGTACTTACCAGCATGTAGGGTCCACGCGATATCCTTTTAGACTTTTCCACCTCATCTAGGACTACTTCGTTTGTTGTGTGGTCAATCGAAGCCTCATCACGAACTCCCCACCGCATGTCCACAAGCTTCATAGCAAAGTTCATCAAAACATGTTAATATACAAAATCAAGTTGCTGTTACCTAGTTTTATAACAACTTTCTCTCTTTGTTTTTCAAGATATTATCACTTTAAATGATAGATGTTTGGCCCACTCGATGATTGGTGCCTGTTGTTAAATTTAGTATTCAATCAGATTCTATCAAATATATTTTCACAGATCATGAACAGTTCCTGTGTTTGACAAAACTTGACAGACCAGACACGTCTCAACCTCATAATGTAACAGCATGCAATGAATCAGTTTAACCCTTTCACCACTGTAGACCAAAATGGACTCATCAAGATCAATGCATGGTAGAGTCTACTAAAGCTACATAGGGGTGAAAGGGTTAAGTTATATATACTACAAACTCACCTGAAATGTCAGTCCTTTCATGAAACAATAATCTCGAATTTTAGGAATGGACTTCTTCATCAGATAATTCCTCTCCTCCGTCATATCTACAAATATCCAAACCAAGGTAACTCATGTGGACAAACATCCAAACCAAGGTCACTCGTATCTAAAAACATCCAAACCAAGGTCACTCGTATCTACACACATCCAAACCAAGGTCACTCATATCTACAAGCATCCAAACCAAGGTCACTCATATCTACAAATATCCAAACCAATGTCAGTCATATCTACACACATAGGCCAGTCATATCTACACACATCCAAACCGAGGTCAGTCATATCTACAAACGAAGATCACTCATATCTACAAACATAGGTCTTCATATCTACAAACATAGGTCACTCATATCTACAAACATAGGTCACTCATATCTACAAACATTGGTCACTCATATCTACAAACATCCAAACCAAGGTCACCCATATCTACACACATCCAAACCAAGGTCAGTCATATCTACACACATCCAAACCAAGGTCAGTCATATCTACAAACATAGGTCACTCATGTCTACAAACATCCAAACCGAGGTCAAGTCATATCTACACACATCCAAACCAAGGTCACTCATATCTACAAATATTCAAACCAAGGTCACTCATATTTACAAACATCCAAACCAAGATCACTCATGTGGACAAACATCCAAACCAAGGTCAGTCATATCCTCAAACATCCAAACCAAGGTCAGTCATATCTACACACATCCAAACCAAGGTCAGTCATATCTACAAACATAGGTCACTCATGTCTACAAACATCCAAACCGAGGTCAAGTCATATCTACACACATCCAAACCAAGGTCACTCATATCTACAAATATTCAAACCAAGGTCACTCATATTTACAAACATCCAAACCAAGATCACTCATGTGGACAAACATCCAAACCAAGGTCAGTCATATCTACAAATATTCAAACCAAGGTCGAGTATAGTCCTTTTTATAGATTAAATATTGAAAAAACACATCTAAAGTCCTTAGTGTGATGGTAAGATATAAAAGAAATGACAAAAATAGTTTCTTATTACTTCCCTTCAAGTGTTTATATATATATATATATACAATGTATATATCTCAGTCATAGACATATAATACTGTGTGCAGAGGAGACAAAGCCTGTTGTCCATACTAGTACTGTGTATAATTATTACAAACAAAAGATGAACATAATTATATATTTAACTGCTTTGAGACAATCTATCAGAGAAACAGTTGGCCCTGTTATCAACAAACCATACAGCGCTGGACACCTTGGGCGACTAGAAATTGTCAAAAGATGGATGTTACTGGCCCAAAAATAAATCTTTGGGCGAGTACATTATTATTCTCAAAATCGTACTAACCTCCCATAAATTAAACACCCCATTTTCGGAAATCCTGTACTCTCATGAGTCTGGGTCACGCCGTTAAAACGTGCAAGTGCCTCAGAATTGACACAGACGATACCGGTCAACATGTTTACAAAATGCTTGGTATTAATTGAATGACAGCTACTCAGTTAGTTGGGGATGTCATTATCGTGGTATTATGTACCTTTCACACGAATGCTGACAAAGTAACATTTCTTTAAAGTATAAAAAATAACATTATGTTTTTAGGGTTATGTGTCGGGAGGGTTTAATTGAAGAATAAAAAACATCTATTTATATTGTTTTATTGGCATTTTTTATTGCTCAACACTGAAAAGAATCTTAGTGAAATATTTGGGCTACCAATATTCATTATGATTATATGGGCCTGTGGCATAATTTTTGTACTCGCCCAAAAAACTTTTCAAACCAGCACTGAATAAATTAACACCCACATATAAACATGGAACGTGTCAATGCGCAACTATAACTGACATTATTTACAAACACGGTTAGGCCTATAATATTGACGTTCTCACCGGTGAACGTGGAGCTCGAGAAAACACGGACGATGGAGGATTCCATGGACGGAAGCTCGTCCAGGCATCCCTCGGACACCCTGTTTGATATGCTCGCCATTCTTAAACATGTGTCTGTTGACTATTTTATGACAGCACGTGTCATTCTGTTAATCCAGTAAGCCATGTCCGCCCTTCCGTATGTCAATCGGTGTGCCGATTCTCGGTAAGAGCGTCCATGGCTACTCGGCTGTTTACCTAGTATCGTTCAACCAGACGCTTGATCACTGGCGTAGCTTGCGCAGGCAAAAAGAGTCTTGTTGAACGAGACTACTGTTTACCAACAACAGCACGCCTCAGTAAACACACGTGGCGCGAAATACAAATCGATTCGCTAATAATCTCGCAACGCAGAACTCACTGTTCTGTACGAAGTAACGTACGTTTACCTGTTTTTACGGTATTTGGTTAAATCGGCCCAAAGTAATATCAGCCAGACCTATTTTACTCAAGTGAAATCGGCCCAGTTAAAATCGTTTGTGTAAGGCAATAAAAACAAAACAACAACACCAGTACGTAATAAATAAATCTTTTAATATATTTATTTAAATATAATTGTACTTAATTGTACTGATAAATGTATATATCCTATGTATTTAACATATTGTGTGTGGCGGTTCGGGCCAAAAACGATATACAGTAACGCGTTAAAAAAAAAATATGCGATAGAAGTGACTTTAAACGCGTTAGAACTGCCTTTTATCGCGTTAGAAGTGCATTTAACGCGTTAAAAGTAACATGTAACGCGTTACTTTTCAAATGTAAAAGTAACACGTTATACAAGTCACTTCCAAAGCGTTAAAATTCACATCTAACGCGTTACAATGGTAAATGCACTGGCCAATCAGTGAAAGCGTTTCATAGTTGATGCTTTTGATATTTTAAATAAATAAAAATGTTATGACTAATTATATTAAAAAAAGACAGGCAATTACCCATTTCCACATCATATGTTTCTTCTAAGTAATGTGGAAATGGGTTATTGTCTGGGGTTTTTTTTCAATATGAATAAACAAAAATTCATTTAATTGGAATAAAATATGTCAGTTTTGATATATATAAATAAAATTTCCAGAGCCTTAAAAGTGGCCTTCGTTAGGTAAATACAAACACCTATGAACCCAATGATTCACTACAAAGTTTGGTTAAAATCTGTTTATTTATTGACTGTTGGAAAAGACATTTAAACAAAAGTTATTGGGACAGATGACGGACATTGCACCACGGAATATGATCAAATGTCCTAATAACCGTTATTTATTGGATAAATCAGCACCAATCTAATCTTCATTTTTCCATAGTATTCTTTGTCTAGAAAGAGACGTAAGGCGGCTGTTGGGAATGTAATCGCCGACGAGGATGCATATTATTTCTTGTCAATTTTGAAAGACTGATGTGGAAAAACATAGCTCGGATGATTTTAATTTAAACATATTTTATTGCTTTTAAAGCAACAGGATTGGGCACACGTTGTACAACTTATTTAGAGCCCTTTCCCTAAAATAAAACATCTGTACATATTTACAAAATTCAAGATGGCATATACAATATACAAAACCATTTGTACATATCTTATGAGAGAGAGAGAGAGAGAGAGAGAGAGAGAGAGAGAGAGAGAGAGAGAGAGATTTTAAATATGTATTTTTCTGCTTGTACTATTGTCCATCACTCCCGTCCCGTGCCTTGTACTATTGTCCATCACTCATGTGCCTTGTACTATTGTCCATCACTCCCGTGCCTTGTACTATTGTCAATCACTCCCGTGCCTTGTACTATTGTCCATCACTCCCGTGCCTTGTACTATTGTCCATCACTCCCGTGCCTTGTACTATTGTCCATCACTCCCGTGCCTTGTACTATTGTCCATCACTCCC